CCCAAAGGACGGAGCGGGGCAGAGTCACTCACGTACCTGCCGCCGGCCGGGTCCACCCATTTCCGGGAAGGAGGGAGCGGCGGCTACTCACTGTCCCGCCCCCGTCGCTTAGACAACAGCCCCGCCCTGCCTCAGTGCCTGAGCAGCCCACCAATGGAGTGGGCAGCTTCAAGTCACGCGAGGCAGAGCAGCCAATCGGAAGCCCTCAGTTCGGTTCAGCCCTGGAACGCGGAGAGGGGAAGGGGGCGGAGCGTGGCGGCCCTGACGTTCTGAGGCGCTCCGTGCCTGGACTTCCCTTTAACCCCTTCTTCGCACTAGCCCGGGGGTTCCTAATGCCCTCGTGCGAACGCGGGAGCACTCACCGCCCTGGCCTGCGCCGGGAGGGGGTTGCGTGTGTGTTTGCGGGGGGGGGGCTGTGATCCTGCTCGGGTTTCTGAGCCGGCAGCCGGGCGCCTCTTCGAGCTTTTCTCTGCAGCGGGGAGGGCCAGAAGCTTACTGAGCTGGGACTCTAACACACTCACCTGACTCCGGGAGCTGGGGCTCTAAGAAACGCACCATGAATCGCAAGACTCATAATAAAATCTCAAGGGATCGGAAAACTAATGTGTGTTTCTGATGTCCCACAGCACTTGCCCTGGAGTCAGCTGCCACCAACCAGGCCACACCACCACCACACATGGCAAGAATCTCTACTGCTCTTTGCCAAGAGTGCTGACTTGTGGAATCCCTCGGAGCTTAGTCCTGTTTTTATTCAAATATCTATCTGCAAATCTTTGATAGAATAGCAAGATGACATAGGCTGCAATGCCAATATGCCTCTGACCTGCAGATATCTGTATCCTTCCAACAGAAGACACCATTGGGTCACAGATAGCATAGTGATTGGCTGAATGAAAACTAGCTGTCTTAAATTCAGGAAAGACCAAAGTAATGCTAGTAGAAGGAGGTAATCATTTAAAGGTTCTATTCAGCACCTACACCTCATCGAATCTCTGGCATTGTTGGTATGCGGCCTTGGGATCATGCTGATCCCGGAGAATCACCAGTTATCAAGAAAACTCCTAATCCTTTTAAGATGTTGATTGGCCACAGTAGTTTATATCTTTGTCATCTGTTGTCTGGAGTACTGCAGTTCTTTATGTCTCAGCCTGAGAAAATTTACAGTGAAATGACATCTAGCATACAATGCAGCACCCTAAGTGAAATGGGCTGAAGACTGTATATTATTGTGCTCTGCAAGTTGTAGCGGACTCTTGGGCAACACCAGATCCAAAAGATGCCACTCAGGGGTCTTACACTGAGTTACAAAACCTTCAGTGGGATAGGCCCACGTTCTCAGAGACCTCTTTGTATTCAGGAACCTGCCATAACAGCTATGATCTTTGGGCCCACTATATTTATCTGAACACTAGATAGGAGATAGAGCCTTTGCCACAGTTGATCCAAAACACTGGACTGTCCTTTCAAAAGAAGTCAGGAAGAGTATTCTGGCTAAGTTTTCCTGCCTGCATCCCTAAATGTTAACTACTGATAATTTGGCACCTAGATTGCACATTGGAAATGCTTAGATATAGAACCAGTCATTCCTTCAGCCTCCAGATACCAGCAACCCCATTCCACTCCCAGCCACTACAAAATAGCCTGGAAATATGCACACATATTGAAGTTGGGGTCCCAAAAAGCCAATCATAAGGTCATAGGTCAAAACCCTAGAACAGTGCAACTCCACCATATATTTAAAATAATACAAGCAAGTCCTGAGGCTTATCCAAAAAATGCTTCTAACAAAAATTAAATCCCCTTGCCATACCTGCTTCCTCGTCCCCTATCCACTCCACAAGGATGGAGCACTTCCCACTTGTCCATAACCATATTGTTGGACTGTTCACATTTAAACCTTTTTAACAATAGCTAGTGGGGAGATCCAGTTTCTAACCTGCCCTAACTTGAAGTGAAGCTGTTTCACTCCTGTTAATTGTGCCAATGAATAGGATGTATGCACAGGGCTGGGAAACATCGAGTTTAAAATAACAACAAAGGGATTATTCCTTCCTTGCCCTGGTTCTTGAAGGTAGCATGCTGGGTTTGTTGTTCTCTTTAGGAGTGCTCCCTAAGGCAGTCCAGAGGTCGTGTTAGGGAAGATGGAGAAGACTAAAGCAACTCATGTGATTCAGTTCTGGATGTCATGCTGCCCCAAGAGGGTCACTTCAGGGCTCTTGAAAGTGAAGAATTACTAGTATTGGCTTATACCAAGTGTAGCTCGGGCTAGCCGTTTACCCCCTTCCTTTCTCCCCCACAGCTTTGCCACTGTTCCTCCATCCTGATATGTAACATCACCACTAGTACATGCCTGTCTTGAGCAAAAACTGACAGTTTTCTGGTGGATTTTTTATATTTCTAAACTGGAGCACTACAGGCTTTGCATAGTTCTTGTAACGAACACAATACATTTTGAAAATTAAATGTATAAAATCTATATTCTAACACTTGGAAGGTGGTAAGGTGATAGGGAACAGCCAGCATGGGTTTGTAAAGAACAAATCATGTCAAACCAATCTGATAGCTTTCTTTGATAGGATAATAGGGTGACCAGACAGCAAGTGTGAAAAATCGGGACCGGGGTGGGGGGTAATAGGAGCCTATATAAGAAAAAGACCCAAAAATCGGGACTGTCCCTATAAAATCGGGACATCTGGTCACCCTATAGGATAACGAGTCTTGTGGATAAGGGCGAAGCTGCGGATGTGGTATACCTAGACTTTAGTAAGGTATTTGATAAAGTCTCGCATGATATTCTTATCGATAAACTAGGCAAATACAATTTAGATGGGGCTACTATAAGGTGGGTGCATAACTGGCTGGATAACCGTACTCAGAGAGTTGTTATTAATGGTTCCCAATCCTGCTGGAAAGGCATAACGAGTGGGGTTCCGCAGGGGTCTGTTTTGGGACCGGCTCTGTTCAATATCTTCATTAATGACTTAGGCCTTGTCTACACTACGAGAGTAGTTCGATTTTACTTGCATCGAATTTTTGGAATCGATATTGCAAAGTTGAACGTGTGTGTCCCCACTAGGCACAGTAATACGACTTTGTATTTCCCCACTATCGGTGAAAGCGTCGGCATTTGAATCC